ACACACACACACACACACACACACACACACACACACACACACACACACACACACACACACACACATCCGTTTGAAAATCCGATCAAAATTGACCAAGTTATGGTTATTTAAATAGTAAATATACCACACACATTCATGTTGAGTGAGCGAGCTCCCCCACCCAAGAAGGCCGCCGTGGACTATGAAATCCAGTTGGCCGGAAATACATTACYATAAATGGTAGTTTCGAAGAAAATAGTGTGACGAAATAAACAATGAAACGAAATAAGCAACAGCAGATTTTGAACAAACTGAAAAATTTGACCCATAAAAAATATAAAAATATCTTTGCAGTAACTGGACAGAATAAATTAAAGTTTTCTACACTCCTAGACACTATAATTGCACAAAAAAATAGTTTATAAATGCAAAAAAAAGGTGCATTTAGCATGATATGTCTCCTTTAATGTAAAATGTAATGGAGGTCGAATTAGTGGGGGTCCATGGTCCCGATGCAATGCACCCTCCTGCCTGAATGTAATGAAGAGTCTTTCCTGCAGAGGCGGCAGGCAGCTGTCTGGGAGAACTTGGCCCAGTGGACTTCTCCACCATCGCCCTCCTCCACGGCAGAGACCTCCTCTATGAAAAGGCGGCGTCTCTCTTGGCCTGYGCGGAGTCGCAGCGTATTTACATAATCCTGAACTGCATGAACGACGCGCTCACACAGCAGAGGTACGGGCAGCTCTGATCAGAAGTGTGCGTTGCTCAGAGTGCGCGGCTTTAGGTGGTTGTGTTTGTCTKTCAGGGTTGAGGTGAGGCGGGCAGCAGCTCAGTGCGTGAAGAACATCCTGGCCACTCAGTCTGGAGCCGACTTCTGGAGCCAGCACAAAGACAACAGAGACCCCTTGCTGGTTTATCTGAATCTCTTCAGAACAGCCAAGAACAAGGTGAGTTAATGTTTTTGTGTCAAACAATTGTGTTTCTTTGCTCTCATGTGTATATGTGTTCTCATCATCCAGGTGGCTGCAGTGAGTGCTGAGGAGAGCTCAGAGGCCAGGAGGAAGCTGGACAGCCAGGAGTTTTGGATTCCCCAGTCAGGCGGGCACCACGCCTGGCTGAAGGCTCTGTGCACAGCCCTGCTGGACAGTGGTGGGGTCAGGAGCGAGGGGCTGCTGCTGTCACGACCTCTGTGTCTGGTGAGTTCACAGTTTCAATAAATCACCCTCTGAACTCTCAGCCGTTCGTTCACGCTGCTCAGGTCTGGTTTCATTCTTAAACATTTAGTCCCAAACTGTCCCGATCTCCTCCACCTGTTTCCAGGTGATGGTGGACTGTTGCCAGAGGCTGCTGCCCCTCATCATTCACTCCATCCTGCTGGAGGACCCCAGCGGTTCCTGGAGGGAGCTGCTCTCTGCCCACATCCGGGACTTTTTCAGCTTTTGTTCCAGAAACGCTCAGGCCGCCAGTCGATCCGCCACGCCACTCAATTCCGACTCTGGTGTGTTCAAATGAGAAGCAAAATAAAAACAACATCTTGTGATATTTGCTGTTTTTGTGACAATAATTTATTCTTACAGAGTCCAACACTGCCAGCCAAGGTCTGTACGACAAGACGTCTCTGCGCACCATGCTAACTGTTATTGACTATCTGAGACACCACCGGAGACCACTGGAAGCTGACGGGTCTGTGATGCCATTATTTTGTGTTTGTTCATCTTTTTCTGATTCTTGGGTTATGAAATTCCATGTGGGAGTTCTGGTGATCAGTGATTGCTCATAGCATATTTGGTCATTTTTGTTACGGGGGGGGATGTTAAAAACAGCTGTCATTAATGGATGAAAAGAATTTAAATTTTGGGTCAAATCTTTTTGTTTTCGCTATCTTCTTGAGGGTAAGAAGCTGAAACCTTTGGGAACCAGACTTCTTACTTTATCTCAGGGGCCAACTCAAAGACCAGAGAGGACTTCTGTGTCTGGACTCCAACATCTTCTGGCCTCATTTGAAATCAGAAGTTTCAGAGTTCTGAGTCAAAAACATTGACTTTACGCTCCCAAATCAAAATTACAACTTGGAAAGTTAGAGGTTTCTCACCGACCCTGATCTCAGCGTGGCTGCCTTATTCCTAAAAGGAGATGAAAGCTGCAGGAATAAACTATTTATTTACTCTTTAACTCTATCCTTCTACAGATGTTGCAGATTTTTGAATTTCACCATATTTTGGAGACCGCACACAAAAAAATACATTTTAACCACTTTCATTTGTTCATCCTGACTTTTTTTAACCCTCATAATAGTAAAGTAGCTGCTTGAACTTGTGGCTCTAGTAAAGAGACCACCTCACTGTAAAAACTGCTTCTAAGATGCCATCAGTRGATATTTTGATCACAAATGAAACTGTCCGTCTTACCAAGTTTTAAAATCTTATATCCAGCCAAAAAGTCTTTTTGATCTTGTTTTGAGACTGATTTACTAAACAAGAACTGATTGTGTAAGAATAATAATCTTGCTTTCAGAATGTGTAAAATTATTTGTCTTGTTAGTTTGAAAATTTGACTCAAATCAAGTCAAAATATCTGCCAGTGGAGTAAGAAATTTTTACTTTGTAAGATTCTTGAAATGCTTGATTTGACTCAATTTTTTTCTTATTTTTCTCCTTGCAGTGACTSTTGCGGCACCGTGTGTGACTCAAACTTCTGGCTGGACCTGAACTACCTGGAGGTGGCCCGGGCTGCTCAGTCCTGCCTGGCCCACTTCACCGCTCTGCTCTACACAGAGATCTAYGTCGACAAGATCAAAGCCAACATGGAGGAAAACTGCAGGTACACGCGGAGAGGGATTTTCTTTATCTTCGTCACTACGTCATGTGTATAATTCAAAAGTACTATTATGTAGTTGTTTCAGTTTCTGTTTTTTAATCATTCTATGAAACAAATGTGCAGAACTAAGACCAGAGCAACACGCAAGATCAATTTTGAGGAGAACAGCCAGAACTTTTCCATCTCCAGTCTGACTGAGAAGAGTATGGAAGACACAAACATCAGTCTGCAGGTGTGTTCTGGTGCCAGATTTGTTCCTTTTTTTTAACCATTTAAAAGAATCTGTGTGAGGCCTTGTTTCACCAACAGGTTTATTGTGTTTGCTCTGATTGCACTTATTAGGTGTTAAGAGTTGCAATGATGATCAAGGAAGCACTAAATGTCAACTGTTGGCTTAGAAATGCAGTTCTAATAYAGTGAAAATCTGGAGGACAACAATGTTTTAGACAACTTGTGCTAAATTATGAAAGTTTTGTTATGAATTAATTTCCCAAATAGGTTATAGTATCTTTGTTACAGTATGTAAATGCCCAAAAGAGGATTCCAGTTGATTTTTTTAATACCATCTTCAACGTAGACATCTTCTGTTATGGACAAAATTTTCAAAAGTTGTCTTAAATGTTAAGTCAGGGTCTTAACTGAGAAAATGCTCTCACTCTGTCATCACCTGCTGTGTTTGTGGTGGGCAGTCATAATTAGATTATGCAGAGAGGGCAAAGTAAAAACAGCTAATTGTTTTTTTCCTGCTGAACTCAGAGGTAGAGAATAGTAGATGCAATAACAAACTGTTCTGCTTTTATAATGAAGCACAGCCTGAGTCTGTTGTGTAATTATTAGAGGTGTAAATCACCAGATTTATCACAATATATTGATAGGTTTGGATGGCGATACGATATTTCTCGATATTACAAAGTGTTTCACAATACAATTTTGATTCAGTTCAATTCACAAGTCTGCTATCAATATGGTATATCGATCCACATCGAGCATATGATGACGATATGGTTCTTTTTGCCCGATGTAATTGAATCATTAGTCATTTAATCTATATATCAATGTGGATCAATGTGTTCTTTTACTCTTAGTAATTATGTGAACCTTCAAAATAAAATTCTTCTTTTTTATACGTTTAATTGAAGAAATCGTTTCCACACGTTTGTCCTCCTTGTATCATGCTGGCAGGAGCTGCTGATCGAGGTGTATCGCAGCATCGGGGAGCCCGACAGTCTGTACGGCTGTGGAGGAGAGACCATGACCACTTCGCTGACGAGGTTAGATCTTTGCGAGCGACATTTGTTTCCCTCGGTTTGTGAACAGCGTCGTAACGTTTTGTTTTTCCGCTCAGGATTCGAACGTACGAACACGAGGCTCTGTGGGGAAAAGCCCTGACCTCCTACGACCTCAATTCTGCTCTGCCCGAGGTCACGCGCCTGGTTGGAATTGTGGAGGTAAGGTGGATAAAGCTAAAAAAAAAAACACCACGAATGAGGCTGCGTTACTCTCTTTTCCATCTGAACGTCCTCTCCTCACCAACAGGGTCTGCAGAACTTCGGTCTGAGCAGCATCCTCGCCACCTACCTGCGGGGTTTGGAGAGGGAGGGGGTGGAGTGGGGGGCTGAGCTGAGAGAGCTGCGCTTCCAGGCAGCCTGGAGGAACACCGAGTGGGACTGCGAGCTGTTAGAGAGGTGAGGGAGCAGACGTGCAACCTCACTAAATATCCCTTTATGCTTGATAGTATTCATCATGCAGTGTTTGGTTTTCCTCTCCACACATATTCTTGCTGCATAAGGAGTGAGAAATCCACCCCTGGATTCCACGAATCGATATTTTGCACCCTTCAGGCGCTGAGGGACAAAGACTTTTTTATATTTGATCAAACTCTGGAGCAAGCCAGGTCTGTTGAGCACGTAGAAATGTCTCGTCCAGTCTGAAGGATGAAGATGTTAACACTACCATGTGCTCTTCTTCAGGGTTGCTGAAGTGGAGGAGCTCTGCAGAGGCAGTCTAGAGGCTGTGTCCTCTCTGTATCCGGCCCTCAGGGACCTGCAGAGCATCAGGGAGCTGGAGAGTGTCAAACAGCTCTTCTCCGGGTGAATACATCAGGAACACAGCATCAGATGGGTTTTAATTGATGTTAACGATTGGTGTCCCCTCATATCAGACCTTTTTCAGATGTGGCTCTGAGGGAAGTTTGCAGCCAGTGGCGGCAGCACTCCCAGCTGCTTGTGGACAGCGATTTCACTGTGGTGGAGCCCATTCTCACTTTGCGTTCCGTGACCCAACACGCCCTGCTGTCCAGGTTACAAACCCCAGAGAGCATCCAGGACGTCCGCCTGGTGCTCACCGAGCACCTCATGGAGYTGTGCCGTCTGGCTCGCAAGGCTGGCAGCACTCAGGTAGCATCTACATGTTCACTTTTCTCCTCTCAGTGAGAAGTTTGTCACATTGTGTGATGGAGTCTGGCCTGGCGTTCAGCTTGCAGAGCGCGCGGTTTATCAGATGAAGCAGCTCGGCGGTGGAGGGACCTGCCCGGTGATGTCATGGCAGCTGGAGGAGGCCCAGGTGTTCTGGGCAAAGGGAGAACAGGGTCTGGCTCTGGGTCTGCTGAGACAGATGATACACAGACTGGAAGAAAAGGTCGAACACATAAACTCAAATCAAAGGACTGAGAAATAACACCTACAGATTTTTACTTTTTTTGGTTTATGAAAACGTTTCTCAGTAAATTAATATATATATTTTTCCTGACGTGTATTTGTTCAGGTGGACTTTAATCCTGCTCTGACACCGCTCTACACCGAGTGCCTCAGGCTGTGTGGAAACTGGCTGGCTGAGACCTGCCTGGAAAGTCCTGGAGTTATCCTGGAACAGTACCTGGAACGGGTAAAAGCAAGACCATGTAATGCTGAGCGTAGTGTTGGATGAACCTACTCATATAAATTAACACAGTTTGTTAATAAAACTGTGGTTTTTGTTAAAGAATGGTCTCAATTTTGACTTTCTTTTTATAAAATRATAACTACATGTTGCTGTATGAACWGTATCTGAAGTCTTAAACTATGATAAAATAGGAAAAGTTTATAAAATGTTTGACAAGTTTTGACACTTAAAGGTTGAGCGTGTGTAACATCATCATGTGTGGTTAAAAATAATCATAAAACCTTTATGGTGATTGTGTAAAAACCATAAAAGATATCAAAATACCAACTCAGTCAAGTATAAACCTACTTTTTTAACTCATTTAAACTTTGAATGATGTTTCCGCTGTGAAGTTTGATTGACCTGCAGAGCTACAAAAACTCCTTTTACCCAAATCCCATTGTTATCTAGAGGCAAATTATTTGCAGTAATTTGTTGTTTTGTTTTGCAAATATTGCCTACACCATTTAATGTACTTACATTAAAAGACAGAATGCTCTTCTTAATCAAAGCACACATTTTGATGCATTTTTTATATAGGTTTTCCCAAAATTCTGGGAAGACCAGTGAGATACAAATTGTGACAAATGGAAATTAGAGTTGTTTTCTGTCTGGAAAACACCCAAAAAATAATAAAATAATAAATTTCTTTTAAACTTCAGTCTGGAAAGGTTTCAAAAAAGTCCATTAAATGTTATTGTCTATCAGTCCAACCTTCTAAAGTACACACACAATACACACATGTTGGTTTTTATATACTCGTGTGGACTTTGTATTTACTTCCATTCATTTTTTTAGTCATTTCTATACCCTAATGCTGACCCCTCACACTAAAGGCTCCAGCATTCTACTGCCGAACTGTCGCAGTTTTATGACGAAAATCGCGTCTTTTCTGTTCACATTGTCGGCATTTCTTGTCGCAACCCGCGGGTCGAACATTTCACCCCCCTCCACATGAGAACACATATGAACTGTATGGCGTGATTGGTCAGAAGTTCGTGGGAGTGTTTTTGTTTGTGCTGAAAGCTCACACTGCATTTGCTTCAACCACTCACTTCAAAAAAAAAAAAAGGGAAGAAAAAAGCGATCGCTTCCAGAGCCGACTGCTGTACCATGAAGCAGCGATTTTTAAAGTTTTATTCAAACGGCCAAAAACTCATAAGTGGGGATAAAAAACTGACATTTTTCACGGTGGAATCTGACTGATAAAAACTTTGGAGCTTAATCTGGGACCAGTTTGAGGATAAACAACGTCGAGCAAGCCGCTGACTTTTTTTTTTTCCCGCATTGGACTCCCCTGGGAAGGAATCCCATGCAGTGTCGTATGCTGCAGCGGGAGGGGTTTCCCCAGGAGCTCGGCTCGGGGTGTCTCAGGAACTATGAAAGGTATGTGCGAAAACGAAYGCCGAACAACCACGTGACGGCGCATCRACCGGTCTTTTGCCGAGCTACCATACTGCAGGCTTAAGACTAACCACCCCAGTACATACCTGACCCTAAATCTAGCCTAAACTCAATCCACACCTTGGTCCTAAACTTAACCCCCCAGCCAAATCTAGTATCTGTACCCGTGGGGACCGGGCTTTGGTCCCTATGAGGAGCCCACAAGGCTGTGTTTTTCTGGGAAATGGTCCCCATGATGTAGCAAAAATGTGTCCACACACCCACATACAGTAGGTGTCCCTCTGAGAAAGACCCTCTGACCACACGCACCCATGATTTATTCATGTTCCAGATAAATCAAGAGTACGTCATAACATAAATATAAATTTTTAGTGAGTGACACTTTATCCACTGGAACAAGAGACTTTTGAGTTAATATTTAGGTTTTGAAAGAAGCCCTTACGTCCTCAGACCAGTAGAACTCACCTCCATGCTTTCCTCTCAGGCGGTGGAGGTGATTGAGGGGGAATCGGGGGCCCGGGACCCCAGACTGCAGAGCCAGCGGACTGAGGCCTTCCTGTCTCTGGCTCGCTTCTCTGACGCTCAGTACCAGAGCATCGACAAGTACATGAAGTCCTCCGAGTTTGAGAACAAGCAGGCGTTGCTGGAGAAGGCCAAAGAGGAGGTGGACCTGATTAAGGAGCGTAAAGTGACCAACAGGTTGTCGTCCTTCAGTTTCACTTTTTTTTTTTTTTGAGTGAAAGTTTTGATTCTTAGTTTTAGTTACCAGTAAGTTTGCCATCACAGATACACAATTAAGGTGCAGCGGGAGCTGGAGCTGGATGAGAAGGCCCTGTCAAACCTGCGGACGGACAGGCAGCGCTTCCTCTGCAAGGCGGTGGAGAACTACATCCAGTGTTTGGAGCAGGGCGAGGAGCACAACACCTGGGTGTTCCGGCTGGCTTCGCTCTGGCTGGAAAACGCAGACATCAAAGTGGTGAACGACACAATGAAGGTCAGCGGAACGACTTGTTCTCCAGCCTGAAGAAGGCCGAAGGTCAGCTTTGTTCATTTTGTTTTACAGAAGGGAGCGAAGCAGATCCCTTCTTACAAGTTCCTGCCGCTCATGTATCAGCTGGCCGCTCGCATGGGAACCAAGATGGGTTCCACCGAGTTCCACGACGTCATAAATGATGTAACACAGCAAATAATACTCCTTTTGTACTCATATATAGTTTGGTAGATGACAAAATTACACATAACTCATGTTTCTACACAATATTTAAATTGCATGTGTATTATTACTAAACCTGATCCACCTGTGTGACTTATTATCTAACTTTGTGTTGCTTTGATCAATTTTTTCTTTGAAAAGCTGATTTGTAGAGTGTGTTTGGATCATCCTCACCACACACTCTTCATCATTTTTGCCCTGGTGAACGCCAACAAAGACGAGGCATTTTGCAGAACACGGGTGTCTAAAAATTCTCCACGACAGGCGTCACAGTTTGACCTGGTGAGACTTTTTATTAAACAATATGAGACACCAACAGATCTATATTAAATAAATACTAGCTTATTCTGGTATTAACTCCGCTTGGTGTCGTTTATTGGATGATGATTGAAGTCAGAAGAAACAAGAGATATTGGTAATTTAGTGTATTCAATGTGTTTTTTAATGAAACCTCTATTTATCTCTTTAAATAAGCTCTGTTTTACTCCCACAGGAGCGCTCGAATGTGGCCCGCAAGCTCATCCGCGCAGTCAGTAAAAAACGAGGCAGGATGGTCCGGGACATCGAGCGCCTGTGTGACGCCTACATCTGTCTGGCTTACATGGACGCCAGCCGCCACAAGACTGAGAAGAGTGAGTCGTCTGAGCGCCACGGTGTACAGAAATACAAACCTTAAGTCATTTCGTGAACTCTGGGATTTCTGTTTTGTTTGAGAACTGAGAAATCTCTTTTAATTTTTGCTAAGTGTTGAATCTTTCTTGTCCTGTACGTTTTAGAGGCCATTCCCATCCCTGCTGATCAGCCCATCATGCAAATCAAGGAGCTCAGTGAGGTTACTATCCCCACCATGGAGATAAAGGTACTGATGTACTTTATATTAGAAAACTGGGAAGTTATAAATATAAAATCTTCAATAAAATGTGTTGACAAAAAAAGAAAACTGGGAAGTTGTTTTTGGTAGGAAAACAGAGGAAGTGACACTGTCAGACTTTTAACACTTCATATGTGAATGAGTAAGACTAGGCTTATATGGAAAGATAAAAGAATCTATCCATGATCCTTCTGTGCACAGTGAACCTCCAGCAAGTTGCAGTTTAGTTTCTGGCCTCAATCGCTCATGTTTTATTTTAGAACATGTCTAATAATTCATAATTTTGTGGAAACCAATATCCTTCACATTTTTTTGCCTTCTTTGTGTATGAATGTATATTATTTCTTTTTAACAGTTCTTTATCCACTTTTTCTT